GACTGATGACCCTGGGGACATGAAATAAGATTTTGGGACATGTGCAGGGTTGGGAAAAGCCCCACAGAAGGCTGGATAGGGGCAAGCAGGCCTGTTATTGGGTCCTGACACCCAAAACTTACTAAAATTGAGTGATCCGTGAATAATTAAAATCAGATTCAGATCTTACTAAGAGTTAAGCTCCTTATTACTTTTGGGGTGATGATGTGGGTGTTGGGTTTTTTTGTTTGTTTGTTTGTGAATTTTAGTGTGATGGTTTAGTTTCAAGAGGAGTAACAGAACCTTCAGGTTACTGCCAATTGAACCAGCTTGTGGCAGTCAATATTTGTTGCCACAGACAGTAATACTTGTGTATTACTGCCTGGCTGTTTACATCCATTGTTTTCAGAGAACTTTTCACCATTTATACAGTTGGCATACTTTCCTTGGGCAGGTTCTACTGTCTTCCAGTTCTTCTTTTAAATGCCAAAGGTTTCTTCACATAGCCACAGATTTTTTATATTTACTTTGAGTTCAAGCGGATAGAATGCATGCTACTGACTTGAATGTTTATACAACCATCAAATACAGTTTCTCTCTTCTTGATTTGTCTCAGTTGCAAATGTGCACTGTAAGCAAATTGTCTTCCTTTTGATAATTTGTTTAGTTTGTAACATCGCCATCACATAAAAAAGTCACTGTTTTTATGCCAGAAAAAATATAAAATGTATAAAATGTACAGCGTAGAGCTTTCTCTTGTCTGTGCCAAATTAGGACCCTGTAGCCAGAGTGCATTGGAAGGGAAGAAGTTCAGGAGCGTTATTCCTTTTATTTACCTCTTACACAGACAGAACTTATTGACTAAGGAGTTACCTGTCTTTGAGCAGAGACGAACTCCACTAGTTCCTGTTTAATAGGCATTATCATTGATAACCAGAAGAGAACTTTGGCCTCCTTTTCACTAGCAGGTTTGCCAGGGCATTTTACTGGACACAGCAGTTAAGTAGGTACATTGATGATCAGTGTCCTGTCCACACTGCAAATAAAACTGTTGTAATTTGCAGGCTCCTAATTTTTCCTCTTCCAGACATACTTCTGCTCAGGCATGAGTGGGTGCACAGTGCATGTGGTCTTATAGATTTACCTGCATTGCTTGAGGTGCCACTGTAGCCCTTTGTGTGTGCTTTGGAATTTTACTCCAATCTTAAAATCTTAAATTTCAAAGTTAGCTTTTTAGCAATTACAGGAAGCTCTAGCATGCACTACTGAAACCTATCTGCTCCAAAGCAAGATTTAAACTTTCAAAACAAGGTGGTTGTGGAAGTGCAAATATCTACTGAGTAGATGTAGTTACTGTATACAGGAAGCAAGGATCAAGTTCAAATAAAAGCTGTGGGCACCACTTCTTAGCAACTGATTTTAAAGTAATTGCAATCTTCAAAGCTATCTATTTATCTCTATAGCAGAGACCTGGGTATTATATACCTAATGAGTTAGACCATTTGAGAGCAAGCTTCTTTCACATTGAAAAGGTATTTAAAACTTTTTCTGTTACCAGATCAACTGTTCAGTCCATTTCAGAGAGATGAGATCAGCTACTTGGAATTTTAATACTGTGTTTCTTATAAAATGTGTCTCTACTTATTTCCTTGTGCCTGAATGGGAGCTTTAGAAGTGCTGAGGTTCAAAACTGGTTGTCTAATACTCCTACTACTGCTTTGGGGTTTTCAGTAACTACTGGTCACACATGTACCACACATTTGTGGACATAAAGCACAAATAAATAAGTAAAACTAGCAATAAAGACACAATCATGTCTCCAAAGAATTTGAAGCCAAGGTCCTGATCTGATAAAAGCATTATGTACTTAACTGTGTGCACCATGTGTGGCTCCATCGACCTCAGTGGGAGTATTCACAGTATTCTTGTGGCTCATTGAGTACAAATCTTCGCAAAATTGGGAGGTAAACTACAGTATGTCTGTTGAAATTTACTTTGCTTCATTGTACTGAAGGTTTTTTTGTTTTGGTTTGGTTTTTTGTTTGTTTGTTTTTGTCTATTTTCATCCAAAATTGCATGGAGTATTCCTTTTATTTTTAATTTCCTAAATTTCTTTAGAGAATGAGTAACACAGACACTGGTAAATTGTTGTTTCTAAAACCAGGAAGGATAGATGAAGCTTAGAATTTCAAAACAACATTCATATCCCTACAGTTTAAATGTGGAACAGCAAAATGTATAGATTCTTATCCACAGTCCACTTACATGGGAATACTTCAGATGAGTGTAAGTGTAAACTTCTTTTGATGTAATAACAAGCTGTGTGTACACAAAATCAGAGAATATAATTCCATCTCCCACATTTTCTGGAACATATTACCCTGGCCCAAGTTGTGAATGGCTTATTTCTATTGGCACAGATTTACCTGTGTCCGTGAAGAATCATGTTTGTGGAGTGAGGCATAGTTACCCTAAGGATGGCAGAATCACAGCATACAAAAACTGCTCTAACACTGATCAATAGCATGAAGTTCAGCTGAGGTAAATGCCAAGTTCTGCATGTGGGATGGTGCAATGCCAGACTCAGGTACAGATGGGAGACAAACAGCTGGAAAACAACTCAACAGGAAGGGCCCTGCATGAGCCAGCAGAGTTAGCTGCATTTTGGCCTGCATTAAACCAGCTGGTCAAGAGGTGATCCTCTCACTACATTTGGTGTTGGTGTGGCCTCATCTTGACTACGTGTGCCTAAACTTTTGATTAGCCCTGAAGCAGTCAAGCTGATGGACTTGATGATCTTTTGAAGGTTCTTTTCAACTGGACTATTCTATTCTATTCCATCCTATCCTGGTTTGTTCTGTTCTGTTGTAACATAGCATTAGTAAACATGCAGAAATTCACCAGTGAATTACAGACTGTGGGTGTCAATGCAATCCATGAGATGTTCCTGGAATTTTCTCTTGTGTGCTAATTTGTTTTGTGTAACACAAAAGGAAGGAGAAAACCATTTTCTGGAAATAGACCTGAATATCTGATTTACTTTGTGTAAATCTTATTTTTAAAAAATATGCCTTTATTTGAAAGATTTTTATACTTCATCTTGAAAGAGAGCAGAGGTGTTTGGCTGGATGTCCAATCAAATATTATTGGCTTTCCTGGAATGAAAACCCTACTCTCTTCAGCTGTACACTTGCTAACACTTAAATAGATTTCATGGTAAATCCAGCACTGAGGATAGTGTCTTAACAACTGCATGTTTAATTAGAAATACATATCCGTAGTGTAACAAAACACGATTTAGAATAGAACAACAATAACAGAGTATGAATGAATACTAATCACAATATAGCTATGAAGGAACTTACAACTTATTGCTAAGATTGAAGTAAACCGAAAGCAAAATAGCAATTATCAACAGAAGAAGGCTTGATGCTCTGGAGCAGAAATGAAAACAGCACTATCTGGTTAAATTCCAGATTGATGGGGGAAAGGCAGGATTTTGATTTTTTTTCTCTTTGGGGACTGCCTTGGGGAGCTTACTTTGAATCAGTGAGAGCAGTTAAAATCATGCAGTATCTGCAGGATCCCAGAGTACTATATAGCATACACACACCACCACCACTAGTTATTTGGTCAGAAGTTTTCACCACTGTGCCACACAATTTCCTGTCTGGTCACTTGTTTCCTGCACAGAACATGGTAATGAAATTGCTAGAATAAAAATAATAGCTAAGAGTATTTCAGAAAGCTTTCTTCTGATTCAGTTAAATTAACAATAGTTGTGCATTGTAGCTCCCTTCAGGATTTGTCCTTGGGGTACCAGTGATGCTGACTAAGTGTGGGGTGCTAGCAGATCTCAAAGGCCTTAACAGGCAGCATTCCTGCCACAGAAATAACTGTTACACTTTGCAGGTGTATTGAAGTCATTCTATCTATTGTGTTCAAGAAGAAACACAGTTCTCCAGAGAGACCTAGACAGACTTGAGCAGTGGGTCCATGTGAACCTTGCGTGGTCCAATAAATCCAAGTGCAAGGCCTTGCAGCTGGGTCATGGCAATCCCACTATTAATACAAGCTGGAGGACAAAAGAATTAAACACAGCCCTGTTGAAAAGGACATGAGGGTACAGGTGGATGGGAAACTGGACATGAGTCAGCAATTTGCCATCGCAGCCCAGAAAGCCAATTGTATCCTGGGCTGCATTAATAGAAGTGTGGCCAGCAGAGCGACGGAGGTGATCCTGCCGCTCTATGCTGCCAAGACCTCACTTGGAATACTGCGTTCAGATGTGGAGTCCTCAGCACAGGAGAGATGTGGACCTGTTGGAGTGTGTCCAGAAGTGGGCTACAAAAATGCTCTAAGGGATGGAATGCCTCTCCTACGAGGACAGGCTGAGAAAGCTGAGGCTGTTCAGCCTGGAGAAGAGAAGGCTCCAGGGTGACCTGGGAGTGGCCTTTCTGTATCTAAAGGGGGGCTGTAAGAAAGGAGACAGACTCTTCAGCAGCATCTGTTTTAAAAGAACAAGGGGAAATTATTTCAAACTAAACTAAGGGAGATTTAGATTGCATATAAGGAAAGTCTTCTACAGTGAGGGTGGTCAGGAACTGGCAGACGTTGCTCAGAGAGGTGGTGGCTGCCCCGTCTTGAGTGACACTCAAGCTCAGGCTGGACTGGGCTCTGAGCAACCTGATGGAGCTGTAGGTGTCCCTGTTCATTGCAGGGGAGCTGGACTAGATGGCCTTCAAGGGTCCTTTCCAACTTTAATGATTCTATGATTCTATGAAATAACCAATAATCGATATATTAATACAAGTATGGCCATCTCCTCTGGAAATCTCACAGCAGCACCCCCTGGTGCAAATCTGCTGAAACCCATTAATCAACCCTAATTAACCCTTCTTTCCGAGTCCGAATTCCCAGGCTGACAGCTTGGATGACTCTGTCTAACAGCACCACCTGGTGACACCTGCCGCGACGCCAGAGCTCGGTGATCCAGACGCCAGAGTTTCTCCGGAATATACGTTTTATTTTGCAAGCTTTCACTCTGCGATGGGAGGCGGCAGCGCCCCGACGCTCCCTTCCCATCGCACGCCCCGCTGCCGCCGGCAGAACGGAACGCGCTGCGCGGGGCCGCGTTGCTCGGGGAAGGCACTGCGCGGACGCACCGGGTGCCGGGGCCGGGCCGGCCGCCATGGCGGTGGACATCACGCTGCTCTTCAAAGCCAGCGTGAAGACGGTGAAGACCCGTAACAAGGCGTTGGGAGTGGCGGCCGGTGACAGCGCCCGGGATGAGCTGCTCAAGCGCAGCGCTGCCCGCTCCAGGAGCGACTTCACCGGGCGGGCACGGGAGGTGGTGAGTGCGGGCAGCGGGCGGCGGCGGGCAGCGGGCAGCCGGCAGCCCTCCCCGGGGAGCCGGGGCGAGCGGGTGGCTCCTGAAGTGCCGCAGAGCGCCCCGGGGCAGCGCCGTCCACGGGCGGATGTGGGCCGGGAGCCGGCGCTGATGTGGCGGCCGAAGGGCTCCCAGCCCCACCCCCCACCGAGCCTCCGTTACACCGGGCTGGGGCTCCGGGCTCCCCTGGCCGCGTTCCCTCCCGCCGGCTCGGTGCCGCCGAGCGCTGCTGCGGGCTGCCGCGTGGGTCGCCTGCGGAACGAGTGGGCGAGTCTTTGTAGCGCCGGGTCGTTCCTTATTGCTCGCTTGTTTATTGTGTCGCACGGTATGGCTGTCAGTGCTGGGTCCGTATGAACTGCGGGTAATCACAGAATGGCCAGGGTTGGAAGGGACCTCAAAGATCATGAATCTCCAACCCAGATATCTGGTATACGCTTGGAGAGAGAGAAGCGCTGAAAAGCTAAGGAATTGCTGAGCTGGAGGCTGACCAGCGTTAATAATATTACTGAGTATGATCGTAAACTTGTTGCAGATTCTTTGCCTCCATACTGATCAAAATGCGTGGGGGGGAAAGTGGTGTCTGAGCATGGTTTGAGTAATGCCCTTAATCAGGCACTGGGACACACATTGGAGGTGTTCAAGGCCAGGTTGGCTGGGCCCTAGGCAGCCTGATCCAGTGGGTGTAAGCCCTGCCCATGGCAGGAGGACTGGGGCTGGGTGATCTTTAAGGTCTCTTTCGACCTAAGCCATTCTGTCATTTAGAAAAGCGGGGAGAAACAGCCTGCTCAACAAGGAGACAACTTCAGAACACAAGTGCCAGCATAGGGCTGAGCAAAGGATGACAGGGAACATTTGGCCCTCAAGAAGGCAATGATGCAGTGATGGACTTTCCAATGTTTCACATTTATAGAATGCTGTTAAAATTTACTGTGTGTGTATTAGTGCTTTTTGGTCAATGAGAACAAAAGCTTTTTTTTTTTTTGGTCCTTGGACCTTTACTTTGACATAACTATTTTAAATTCAGTATGTGCGGATATGAAATCTCACTTTTACAGATTTACATGATAACTTGGTTTTGGTATCTGATTTGATACCATTACAGATATTGCATAGGCCCAGTTTATGTGACACTTGTTCTCAGCTTTACCTTAGCCTTAAACTGACTGGTTTGGGTATTTTTATGTCATTATCAGTTTTGGAAGGTATCTGGCACTTGAATGTCTTTCTGTCTTAGGAAATCTTACTATTTAAGCCTTCTCCTTTACTTTTTATGGCAAGTACAAGCTATTAGGAAGATCATCTGTCAAATATATTAGTTGAAAATACTGTAGGGATGAGAATATTTAATCACTGCTGACTGTTCAGTAAGCATTACAGAATGGAATTAGGGTTGATACAGCTTATTAAGAGAAATAAAATCAGTGGCGAAGCAGAATCTCACAATGGGCTTGATTCCAACCATAAATTATTACTTTTTGTTTTGTTTTGTTTTGCTAGGAAAATTATCTGCTTTATTAATGTTCTTGCAAATAGACTAAAAAATTAAGTGTTATAACTTAAATTCTTCAAAAGCAATTCCAGACATATCTGAAAGCATGTCCTTGAGAAGGGAAAATTTGAAAGGTTAATTGTTTCTGAGCCTTTAAATGCAAACTTTCAGAATGATCGAATGTCTGTGATTGAAGCTGTTGAACACATAGGAATGCCAGATTCATGGGGTTACAACATCTGTTCTTCATATAACTTCTTTGTATGTATTCTATAGAATGATCAATTCTTTTTTATTTATTTTATTTTATTTTTTAGTTGGTATATTAGGCCCATATTCACATCAAGAATATGTTTGGTTGCTCTGTTTCATCCTCTGTAATGAGAAGGAAAAATCCCCATGTTCAAGTTAGTGGTTTCAGAACATAGTGAATTACATCTGAGTTTTAAGACCAAGAAATATTCAAAATACTACAAGTGGAGGAGAAAAATATGATGCCTACCAGCCTGAGAGCAACTAATGCACAGACTGCTCTAGCTGTAGCACTGTTTGATTTGCCTTTACATGTGGAAAAAAGAGACGGTCAAGTGAAAATTAGGTCTTCTTTGTTCTCTTGCCAGAGAAACCAGAATGTCAATATTAGCACTCAAACTTTTTTCAGTTACATAAACATCTTTAATAATCCAACAATACTGCATTTTTTTTAAGACCACCTGCTAATTTCCAGTTAATTACTTTATAAAGTATTCCTTTTCTTTTTTCTTGTTGAAAATGTCAGTTTAAAAATAAAATAACTTGCTTGCTGTATTAACTTTTTCATGGGATAGGACATGCATTTGCCAGGTTTAGAGTAGCCCTGAATGAGACATAATCTCTATGATATGTATCTGAGAACTAACATTAAAGTGTGTGGCAGAACACAACTGGTGAGTCAGTCTGCATGAGTGAATTGCTCCACATGTAGCTGAGTGGCTGACTCTAACAGCACTAGGAGGGAAATAGCCACAACTGGTTAAAACTGAATGCTTTAATTTCTTCTGTTTTATACTGAAGCAGACTGAAAAACTCCAACCTGCTTTATTCAGGTTAGTTTATACAGTCATTCTGGCTCTAAGCACTACATAAGAGTAACTCCCATGAGAGAATATTTGGATGCCAGGGAAATATATATTGCTTACGGTACAGCCAATTACAGTCCTTATTAGAAATTAATGACTGTGCCAAATTTTGGACAGCAAGTGATATTTCAGCTCACTTTTTAGCTCTTAATGAGAGGTAAATTCTAATAAATTGGGCCCACAGCTGAGGTCATTGGAACTCGTGCTGACGTCTCCCTCGTACTGTGCTGAACACTTGCTTCTCCCCTCTGAGTTCACTGGGGGCTGCATGTTGCGGTCATTTGCATGCACCTGGGATTCCCTTTCCTATTTTCTAGGCAGAAAACAGAATTCTAAATTATACATTTTCAAATGGGAAGGTACAGCGTACTCCACTATATTATTTCAGATTTATCTCTTCCTCTCTGCAAATTGTTTTTTTGCCTCTCATTTCCTTCATCCTTGTTAGAAAACAGCTCAGGCTAAGAGATGGAAGGCAAAGTTGATAATTTAAATTAGGGGGGTAGAGACTTAAAAAGCAGGTTAAGGGAACAGCAGGGGAAGGATTTTAAAAAGATTTTTGGAGACAAAATGCTAGCCTTGTTTAATGCAATGAGATTAAAAGCCAAATCGCTAATGTTCCCCATGTGATGCTTCTGGTTTTACTAAAACTTCCATCAGTAACAGTGGTGAGGTTATAGGTTGGCCCTGAGGGAGGAGCTGTGAACTCTTGTGTTTTGAGAAGATCTGAAATGTCTGTACAAATGTCTGTTGTCCTCCCTTTCCTTTGTTTGTTTGCTTTTCAGCACATTCTTAACTGCATGGGAATTATTTCTGAACGTAGGCTGAGCAGCTGGTTTGAAAGCTGGCTTGGGAAACAGCTTCCATAGCTGCCCACTGAGGTTGTTTTGGTTATCTGGGCATCACGTGGTGCTGCAGAGTCCTCCAGGGCTGCAGGGTGGGTTTGGGGGCGGAGGGTCCCCTCTCCTTGTCCTTTCCTCGCCTCCTTCCAGGGCCCATTTGGCTGTTGGAAGTTCTTTCCTGGCTTACAGCTGTTGGAGGAGTTATTCAATGTAGATGGTTACGATGAACTCTTTGCAGCTTATGGTGGTCTTCCATTAAGTTGATGTCTGCTGTGAGCTGTTGTTACCTTGCTGAAAAATAGGGAAAGAACTAATGGAAGATTGTTGTACACATGGAATTGGAAGAAACCTGAGGTTTAATACATGTGGCTTCCTTCATATCTCAAATACAGAGTACATTTGTGTGACTGAGGCAGAGTGGCAGGTGCTCTGTCATGGGAAAAGCTGGAGTGATGCAATGGGATGACGACAGGGTCGTCAGGAGGCTGAGCGGGAGGAAAGCAGGCTGGTACAGCTGGGAGAAGGGACAGTCAGCTCTGAAAGGATAGCAACAGGGATGCAAAGAAAGGAATGAAAAATGGAAACTGATACAGAGGATGTCAGAATATAACTAAATTAGATTAGAAAAAGGAAGATGAAACAGCAAGAATGGAACTTGCAGTTGTGCATCAGCTTACTGTCTCTGAGTTCTTAATCAATTTCTTCAAGAAAGAACAGGTCACTGTTTTCACTATTTAGGTACATCGAAATTGCTAGAAACTTTAATCTCTTTATTTATATATTTTAAGCCTATAATCTTGTTTGTGACAGAAATGAACTTACATATAAGCAAAGAAATAGTACTGGAGTGGTTTGCTAGTGATGTAACTGCTGAGATTTATTTTTCCAGACATCAGCAGTGAGGCCAAAATAAAGTTCATTTCTCTAGAATTAAGTAACTTTCAGATTTTGATTCTCTCCTCGTTCAAAACAGGACAGATCTGGGGGATTGTAGCCCAGAGAAGAACTTAGAATCATAGAATCATTTGAGTTGGAAGAGACGTTTAAAGGTCATGTAGTCCAACTTCCCTGCAAAGAACAGGGGCACCTACAGCTCCATCAGGCTGCTCAGAGCCTGGTCCAAACATATGAGACTTTTCACAACATCCTGCACTTCTTTTCTCTGTGCATACTGTATGCTTCTAACATTGCACAGAGAGGGATACTTCTTTTTCCTTCAACTTGAGGGGCACCAATTCTGTTTTCTTGAAGCTAACAGAATTAGATTAAGCAGCTTCTTCCACTATGATGATTAGCAAACAGAATTTCTGAGCCATCCTAGATAGTGATTGCTTTGAGCTCTCAGGTGTGTTGTAGTAGTCATAAATGAGGGAGATGACTTAGAATATCATGCTTCACACTGGTGAAATCAACCAAAAAAAAAAAAAAGTTTAAACTCTCTTAGGGAATGGATATTTCAAAGTATAGAGTTTGCAGCTTCAAGCAAATTAATAACTAATCATTGCCTTCACCTAG